CACTGATCGTCAAAGGAAAAACAAATGAAAGTGACACGTATACATATGTTATAGTATATATATATGAGAAAAACGATAAATGCGCATACGTAAGCCACAGGATGAACACAGACTGGGCACAACATCGACGCTTGACTTCACTGGCATGCAGATAAATGGAACACACACACACACACACAAACACAGACACATAGACACACACACACATACACACACACACGCACACACACAAATGCACTCACACGCACACGCACACACACACACAGACACATAGACACACACACACACACACAGACACACACACGCACACGCACACACACACACACAGACACACACGCACACACACACACATAGCTGCCAACTTCTCAAAACTAACTAAAAACCCAGACTTTAATTATCAACATTGCGAGTCAAGAAGATGGGAGGCATTGGCCCAGTGACTCTCTTCTAAACCCTTCATAAACCCTTCACAAGCACAATTCTCTGCATTTAATAAATATATTCCAGCTATTCAAAGTAGACCACCTGTAGCAACATTATGTGGCCTCTCTAATTGACTTTTTATAAGCTGCATTCTCATCATTATCAGCAAATCCTGTCTTGAAAGTTCGCAATATTTTTCTTCAAAATCTGCTAGTCCATGAGGAGTAATCCTAGAAAACAGAATAATTATTTTCTCGATACAAAAACGGACTTAACACTTCCAGTACCGAAGGCTCCTATAGTGAAAAACCCTTGGGTACTGCACCAGTTTAGTACGCTGAAGCCGTGGTAGAATTTTTTAAAATTAAAAAACCTTGGCAGCTCAAGAAACACGCTTAAAAAATTCATAGAGGTTCTTCAACAATTCAGCTATCACATACAGTAACCTACTTAGGTACTTACTTCAGTGTGCCTGGTTGTGTCGGCGACTAAAGTCTCCAGCGGAAGTGAGTGCACACTACGGCCTGGCGACTAAAGTCACTGTCGGTACTGTAAGTGTTAAATACTCAGACCCTCAAACATGTGTTAACTGTTGTTTGACCTACAGGTTGGCAGCTACCCCAAACACATTACGGTGAGAAGAACCAAAGGGAAACACGCCAGGCGAAACTCAAGGACAAAGTGAAGACAGGTAGCGGCTGCTCTCTCTCTCTCTCTCTCTCTCTCTCACACACACACACACACAAAAACACACATCAACTTCCTCCAACAGCGTCATCTCAAACACATACGTTAACACCGAGACAATTCAAACGGCGAGAGTGTTGGGGAACTTCGTGACCACGTGACGCCAACAGCATCATTACAAACACAAACATAAACGCACACCTGTAGCCAAACAACAACGCATCAAAGCATGCACGCTCACACACACACACACACACAAAATGTCCGCCACTGTAACACACACAAAATGTCAGCGGCTGTAACACACACAAAAAGTCTACCACTGTAACACACACAAAATGTCGGCGGCTGTAACACACACAAAATGTCAGCGGCTGTAACACACATAAAATGTCCACCGCTGTAACACACACAAAAAGTCTACCACTGTAACACACACAAAATGTCGGCGGCTGTAACACACATAAAATGTCAGCGGCTGTAACACACATAAAATGTCCACCGCTGTAACACACACAAAATGTCAGCAGCTGTAACACACACAAAATGTCCGCGGCTATCTGATGGCAAGTGGAAGCAAGATCTGATTTACCTGTTGTGTTTCCCTTCTTGGGCCGACACCAGCAGTTCTTGGATTTTCTTGGTAACTTTCTCCGTTTTCTTCACCACCTGAGAGAGGCAAAAGGAAATTCCAGTCAAGCTAAAGGTGTGGTGTTATTGTGTGTTGTGTTGTGTTGTGTTGTGTTATTGTGTGTTGTGTCGTGCTGTGTTGTGTGGTGTTATGCTGTGTTGTGTGGTGTTGTGTTGGGTTATTGTGTGTTGTGTCGTGCTGTGTTGGGTGGTGTTATTGTGTGTTGTGTTGTGCTGTGTTGTGTGTTGTGTTAGGGTGTGTTGTGTTGTGCTGTGTTGTGTGGTGTGTTGTGTTGCGGTGTGTTGTGTGGTGTTTGGTCGTGTTAGGGTGTGTTGTGTTGTGTTGTGTTGTGTTATTGTGTGTTGTGTCGTGTTAGGGTGTGTTGTGTTGTGTTAGGGTGTGTTGTGTTGTGTTGTGTTGTTGTGTCGTGTTAGGGTGTGTTGTGTTGTGTTGTTGTGTCGTGTTATTGTGTGTTGTGTCGTGTTGTTGTGTCAGGTTAGGGTGTGTTGTGTTGTGTTGCGTTGTGCTGTGTTGTGTGTTGTGTTATGGTGCGGTGTCATTTTGTGTTGTGTTGTGTTATTGCATGCTGTTGTGTTGTATTATTGTGCGTTGCATTGTTTTTATTATCAACTTCCTGTGGGCCACATTTATTTTTAATCACTTGTTCGACTCGCAGATCAGACTGAAACCGTTTGCTGGCTGAATCTGGCCCACAGGCCATAATTTGCACACGCCAGGGCTAAACTAAGAACAGACACCACCAAAATGTCCCCATCTTTCCCCATAAATATTCATGATGTACGTCTCACCTCGTCCTGGGTGGGCATGTTTGGATCGTCTCCGCAGGCGGCCAGAGACGAGTTTGACCCCTGACCTTCACTCTCCGATGACTCCCTGATCGACGACAGGACTTCCTGCACTTGACCCTCGTTTGCCCTGGAACACGACCAGACACGTTGACCCAAAAAACATAGGATGGTTTCCGTTTTAGTTAAACAGTTTGCTGTTGGGTAGGAATTTGCGCTATACAAATGCGACCTATTATTATATTTATCATTATCATTATTATTATTATCATAATCATTATTATTATTATCA